CAGAATCAATTTGCACACCATTCTCACTTACAATGTGTCCTAAGTAAAGCACCTCTTTCTGGAACAAATGACATTTCTTGGGATGGAATTTGAGGTTTGCTGCTTTCAAACACTTGAATACTTCCTCCAGCCGGGACATTTCCTCATCAAAAGTTGTTGCAAATAGAATGACATCGTCCAGGTACACTAGGGCTATCCTCCATTGTAGGCCTTCCAATACTCGTTCCATCAGCCTCTCAAATGTTGCTGGAGCATTACTGTGCCCGAATGGCATCACTCGGTATTGCCAAAGACCTTGGCCATAACTAAATGCTGTCTTGGGCCTATCTGCTTCAGCCATTTTTACTTGATGGAAACCTGACTTTAAGTCCAGAGTTGAAAACCACCTGGCTCCACTTAGGGCATCAAGAGTATCATCAATTCTTGGCAGTGGGTATGAGTCTTTTTCGGTTACACTGTTAAGAGCCCTGAAGTCCACATAGCAATGTTGGGTCCCATCCTTCTTCTGGACTAACACTACAGGAGCTGACTAGGGACTATCTGATTTCTCCACTATCCCTTCCTTAATTAGACCATCCATGACCTTCTCTATCTCTTGTCGCTTTGCTGGAGCTATTCTCCTCGGAGGGATCTTTATTGGATGGTGATTGCCTGTGTTTTTTCTGTGCTCTACAAGGTTTGTGCAGCCGAGGTCATGATCTCCTTTCGAAAATACGTCTGCATAATTTGCCAAAAGTTCTTTTACCTGAAGAGCCTATGAAGTGGACTATGCTCTTCTTATAGAGGTCAATCAAATGTTCTGGAAGTGTATGTCATTTCTTTACAGTTGTATTTCTTGCTTTAACATTGACTGGCTCTACCTCCTGGCACACACCCAACAATGCCCCTTCCTTAAGTGTCTGCTCACATTTAGAGAAATTGGCCATGTTATAGGTACTACTTGATGACCTGCCACAAGTGACCTTCCAATCTTTAAATCTGCTGGCCTGGATGGGTCTTTCACTGCTGTAATTTCTCTTCTCGTTCTTCTTGTTTCTTTTGCTGTTCTTGTATTGCTGCCATCAAATCTGCTAAGCTGTAGTTTGATTTGCCGCTTCTCGTTTCCATTTTTTTTATCATCCCACTCTCTGACACCAATTTGTTGTGTCTCCATTCGTTAGTTAATTTTCCGTAAAAATTATTTCCGAAGAAACTTTACCAACTTTACCGATAGAAGTCCTTTCTTAATTAACCCTATGAGATGACTACGGGCTACTAGCTTTCTTAGTAGGCAATGCAAATCTTGCTATATTTCATTCCAACAATAAAACTAGTGGACAAATATTTTCGAAAATTCATAAATACTTTGACAAATGTAGGTAGTTTAAGAAACATAAAGCCTATTACTTTTAATAAATTTAGTTTTTTTGCATTATGATCTTTAATATCTTGGAAAATTACATTAGGAAATCGTATTTATAAGAAATGATTAAAATATTTATATTTGCTACAGATTTGAACTTATTACTTTTAATGTTTTAGTACATTATTTTGAAATCCCCAAAAAATTGTATCCTCCATAAAATGCAAATTTTATCTATTTTTAATTTTGTTAGTAATCACGTATACTTCTTATGGTTTCAAGTAATATACAGACCCGTAAATAATATTTGTAAATAAACAATAAATACAACAATACCTAAACAATAAATGAGTATTTTTATTTTTAACTGGGATTTCATGTTTATATATGTACATAAAAACATTTTAATTTTGTTTCATAAATATATTCTTATTTCAAATTTATATTTATGTTTCATTGCAGTTGTACTTTTGTGTTTATTGTGCCGAATAAACCGTGTGGTCAGCAGCATGAACTTTGTACGTTGTCAGTAAACTATCTCATTCTTTTTGGTGGTCACTCTCGTACAACCGAGCGCGTGCGCATTTGAACGTTACTGTAGATATGATAGTAAGAAAGCTTTTCGGTACTTAAATATCATTTCTTTGAACTTTAAACAAGTTTATTTCAACACATGTCCGTGTATGTTGTTTCAGAATAGAGACAAAACTAATTGCCACTACTAACAAATGTATGTAACATTTTATAGTACAGGTGGTTTCAATAAACACTGCTTGAGCCTGACCCCTTGTTACTTGATACATCCTGTTAAAAGAGATTACCAAACCATACAATCACCATAAATTACAAAGAAAATTACTTTACAGCACTTAAAAGATTAGTCCTGGTCACATTTCTCTCATTACAGGCAAGATTTTGTTGGAATGTATTGAGACCCCCAATTGTGTCATAGCTTCCCTGTAATATTGGGATGAATGTATTTAGCCTGTTTCACAACCAACATATGGGTTTTATTGTTGTCACTACTGAGTTTGAACCATTTGCAAAATATCAGAATAAACTGTATATATATATATCAGTTAGACTGTTTTAATTCTAACGCAATAACAACAGAAGTGTGTGTCTTACTACAAAGCACAGATTGTAAGAAGGAAAAATATAAAATTCATTTGTGGTACTAATAGAATCACACAAGTTTTTCATTCTAAATACTGAATCATATTATTATTATTATGAACTAAATATAAAATTATGCTAAATTATTGAGCTTAAAACTACAAATTTAAATTCAAAAGAATATAAAAAATCACAAACTCTTTCAGTTCAAAGTCCTAAGTCTAATTCATGTAAAGACTTTGCACTCGCCACTCGGTAACTCATAACCCTAACAATCGTGAATCAGCTTCTTTCCTAAAAAAATATATCTATTTTAAG